GTTCATTTGGGTAGGCACAGTGCTGGGCTGCAGTGTCTGACATCTGCTCAGCACTTGGAGTGTGCGGACTATGAGGCAGCAGACACGGAAAGAGGTTTGGCAACACGTCACTTTGTGTTCCTGTTTCTCAGTGATAGAGGAGACTCTGTTATCTTGTGCTTCCACTAGGGACAGAGTGATGAATTTCAAGAGCTAATGGGGTTCCAGACACTGAGAAGAGGGTAAATGCTGAATGTCCCTAATTAGATGAAGGTAAGTCCACAGATACACAGCTACTCTGTGCACAGTACTTTTGCTGGAGCAAAAGGGTTTTCTAGGATGACAAGACCTGACCAGAGCCCCAGCCACCTCTGTACCCCACTCTGTTCTTGGGTATTGCATTCATTCTACTTCCAGTGAGTGTTACAGGACTCAGGGACATGTTTGCCCTCCTGGAGGTGGCTAGATGGGACCACACTGGCAGTTCTTATGTCTAATGAGTTATACTTTAGTCTAAAGTCTTATCTAAAGTCTTATATTACAGCTTTTCATCTGCCACCAGAGTAACACAAGAAGGGGGACTCACTCACATCACAATACCCAAGTGATTGTTGTGGGAATACGTGGAACTGACTGCTGGGAAAGCAGGGGCAGCAGGCAAGGCATCCTTAGCTGTCCTGGATGCAGGAGTAAGTTTCCACCCCAAACTCCAGGCCCCTGGGACAGGACAGTTACCTGCGTGCTGCCAGGTAAGCTGTGAGCCAATTGGTCTGGGTCAGATGCACAGACTGAGATGCAGATGAGCTGTGACAGTGCTTTAATTAAAGATTTTATGCAAAGAAGAAAAAGAAGTCAAAGACACTTCCATTTGAGACAAAGTGCCAAAGAGTGCGGGACATTTTAGAGAAGGTTTCTCAGACCCCGAGAGGTTTCACCTGGTTCCAGGTCAGTGGCAAAAGTCAGTAAAATGCAAGCAATATTCTTGGGAGGAGGGAGAAAAAGAGATTTGGTACATGGAAACAGGGCAAACTACATGCATGGAGCTAAGGTAATTGGTGGTCCTGCAACCAATAAAACCACCATCTCAGGCAGCACATTTCTTGTTATATTTTCAGAGGTGCATCCTAGTTAGCAATCTTTAGCCTGAGAGCTTGTTCTCCTGTTGTCCCTCCTCCCATTTATTTACTTTCTCTTCTTCACCAAGGTGAAGGTTATGGGGAGAACGGAAGACAGCAAGCAGATGATGTGTCAGTGCTTGTCTCCTTTGGGCACATGTGGAAACCTCCCCTAGTGCAGCCCCATCAGACCCACCTGGAGGTGGTCAGCCAAATACAATCAGCTCCTGCATCCCCAGCACCCACCACTGTAAGATGGAAAGCTGCAAATCAATTTGGGATGGAAGAGCTGCGCAATGGGAGACTATGTTATTCTTCCATCCACACTGCAGGGCCAAACACAGACAGCCCTTTGACTCATGATGCCACCTTGCTCCCACCAGGTGAAACAGAGCAGAATCTGGAGAAGATTGGCACTGCTGCTCCGATCTTACAGATGGGCACAGCAAACAGACCTGGGACAGCCTCCTCAGGCATTCTTGCCGAAGCACCTGCAGCAAGGAGCTTAGACCAGCTGAGAACTAAGAGGAACTGAATACTTGCCCACATTTATCTTGCATATTAAATTTTTAGAGTTTAGGATCAGAAAGCACAAATCCTGTCAACTTGACCTTCTGTAATGGAGAGGTCTGGGAATTTCCTCCAGTGGGACTTGCAGTTTGCAGTTTAACTGGAAGACCTTTTTGCAAGACAGCCAGTCTTAATTTGAAAACCTCACAGAATAGAGAATCCACAACACCTTTTAACATTTTGTTCCAACAACAAATTACACTCCCTGTCAAGCATGAATAGTTTAAATTGTAGATTTATTTCTTCCTACAAAGCGTATTTCAATAGCTTGACAGTTGGAGTTCATCAGACCTAAAACCCGGATGACTATATTTGGCCAGATGAGTCTTACCTCTCCACTGACTCCAAAAGAAAAGCATTAACTACAGGGTGATTCATTGCCTTTGAAATTTAGGAATGAAGGAAAAAGAAAAATCTTCAGATCTGTATGGCCCACCAGGCAAATAATGCCCAGAAGGTCTCTCAAGGCTGCTAAATTGAAAACAAGCAGAACCACAACTTGCAGTAGTTTAAGGGTGTCTGCTGCCAGGGAAAATACTTTTCCTCCCCACACTTTAATAGCACTTCTACAGCTCTTGAAATATGGCTCATCAAACTGTCCTGTGCACTGCCCTCCTTACATGGATAACAAAGAGCAACAACAAAATCATGTCTCATATGAGCCAGACCCTTCTGGAGGCTATGTTCTCAATAGCATTCCATCCCCTGATGACAGGCAATGCCTGCCCCTTTCCTCCTCTTAATGGATCCACTCAGCAATGCTTGGGGCTTCTCCAACAGATCCCAGCAAAGCCAAAAGCACCTTTTTTTTTTTTTTTTTTTTTGGGGGGGGGGGGAATGATTAAGACAAAAAAACTTCACCTGAAACTGGTATGACGTTTTACTGCAGTTTTAATAGGTGTAATAATACATACCACAGGCACAGGTAAGGCAAGGATATAGAAAAAGGCAATTACTACATGCCAGGCAAAACCAGAAGGAATGCTGTAGGTAAAGTAACCAAAAAGAAAAGAAAGGGGGGACACGAAAAAAACCCAAACAAGAAACCCCACTGCACCTTGAATCAAAAACCTTAAGATCTGCAGTAAGAATTTTAAAACATTGACCAAGTCAGTTGAAGATACAATGTGGTAGAAAAGCAGAAAAAGGACTAAGTCCTGAAGAGGATTGACCTCTGCGGCTATCTTAGTTGATCACAGTAATATACACGACTGATACACATATTTTGAGGGATGAACTTTCGTGTCAGAAATGGAATAAAGCAGCATGCTGTTATGCACACAGAGCAAACCAAGCAACCCTGGGAACTTTCTTGCCAAAAGCCATTTTATTTCCAGTTGGTGAATTGCAGGAAACCACATTCATCCAGACCTCACTGAATTGTTCAGTTTGGCACCACATGGGAAGTTAGGAGTTATTTTAAGGCAGCACAATTAATACAGGAAAAATACAGCAGTACACAAATCAGCCAAAGAGCAACAAGAATTTTATTTACACAGAACACAGCTGCTTGTGTAATTCTGTGAGCACTGGACTCAGATTGTAGTACTTTTCCTTGCCTGGTATAGCTAACAAAAACAAAAAAATCGGTGACTAGTGCAATGTGCTAAGTGGGGCTGGATAGTATATGAAATGCAGAGTGGGACTGCATACTCAGAAGAACTGTTAAGTGAGAGAATAGCAAGAGAATTTAAATTATATAAAGGGTGAAGGACAAATACTTGTCCAATGGTTCTTTTTGCCTTATGAATAGGATGCCTGAGAGCAGGACACTCCCACGTCCCAGCCCATACCTTTGCCAATATACAAGGTACCCCCCCCTCTCTTCCCACTTGCCCCAAAAGGGAAAGGAATAAAACACAAATGGAGAACGTAGATGTACTGAAAAGGTTAATTCCTCTTTGTTCAGGCTGAAGAGGAAAAGGGCTTGGGGAAGCTATTCCTATAGATAACTTCCTTTCTGTGGTGAAGTTTGCTGACAGCTGCTAAAAAATACAAGCAACACTAGAACTTTACAGTGTGGGTATCGGCACTTTATTTTTTTACAAAGGAAAAAAATAGGAATACATCTTTTTGGTGACTGGAAATGTGTACAATCTATTTCAATGAATTCATGCACTAAAGAAAGTCTCTGAATGAGTTTCTCTAATGCACAGGACTCACAAATTCTTTCACAATCAATAATGCTTGTTTAAAATACTCTTTAGTAATGTGGCATTGGGAGAGTCAGAGATCCCCTGAGATGGCAGTACTGCTAGTACAGGAGGTGCCTGACCTCAGTCCCTCAGCCATGAGTACCAGGGTTACCTCAGTAATTCTGCAAGGAAGGAAAGAGGTGCTCCAAACAACCCAGTGCCTTAATCTAAGACCACCCCAGGAAAATCCAACAACATCTCAGAGCTGACAGAGAATCGGCAGTTCCCACACATCTCTAAATTAACTCATCCCAACCTTGGTATTTAGTAACAGCTTTAAGGAGTGTATTTATATATAAATCTACTAAGAAAAAAAAATCCAAAAAACAAAACAAACAACCAACAACAGTATTGTAAAATTTACATGAACACACGCAACTTTAGCAACACCGTGTTTCCAGTGGATCTTGGCTGTTAACTGCTTGCAGTTTATATACAAAGCTGATTAATTGGAAAGGCTGCTTCGGGGAGCCAAGCTTTCTTTCTAGGTTAGCCCCTGGCTAGAACAAGGATTTCCTACATGTGATCCTCTAGGAGTGGGCAATATTAAAATTTGAGATTAGAACACCAGGCCGCATTTGTTTGTAAACATTTTGTCTTCATATTAAATTAAAATCCACTACATTCTTACTCTTTGCGTTGGCATTAGGGATCAGCTGATTGACACAATGTTCTAGGAATTCATGGGAGATATAGAGTTTGGCCAAAAAAAAATCCTTTAGACTAGTTAATTCCTGGTGTCAAGTTATTGACTTTAAAACAACATCAAGCAGAATTTGATCCACAGTAGAATCACAGGCAAATTTTTTTCCAGGATGTAGGAGTTTCCAATCCACGCTAGCAAAACGATTTAAGTTTTGCGTGATCCCCATTCTGCAGATTGGAACACAGGTTTGAAGAAAAGCAGTTTGCCAAGGTCACAGGCAGCGTCAGTAACACAGCCCCAAAAGAGCTCCTGATTCCTGAACACCTAACTCATGTTGGACAGCAATGCCTACTTCTCTCCTGACTCCTACAGTCCTCAATCCCCTTCTATTAGGAAAAGATTACATGATACTACATTTGGAGGAAGGCTTACAGGGAAATGTCAAAAGCAAATGCATCAGGGATATTAAAAAAAAACAAAAAAAAAACCAAAAAAAAACCAACAACTAGAATATCTCAAGACAGGTAAAAAACTCTTCCTGTTGTTCTTGAAGCTCTTCTTAACTCCTCCTCCTCTTTGCCAACTGCAGTCCTGAGTAATGAATACCTGCCAGATCAGAGTGGCAGCTTCCTCAGACCCTCTCCTTGTGCTTCACGTTAGCCAGCTTGACTGTTTCCTGCTCAGAGGCAGGTGGTGAAGGCTCATCGTGGCATCCAATCATCAGCTGGTAGACTATCACTCCTGCAATTGCCCCAAGGAAAGGAGCAACAATTGGAACCCACCACCACTGCTTGCCAGTCCTGGAAAATAAAAAGGAAGTGCTCAAAGTGAGAACTGCAGCCTAAGCACTGGGATATCTGTGTTTGGACCTGGAGCAATGCAAGGATCTGGTCCTCTCCAGCCATAACCATGGAGTTGCACAAGCCAATAGCACCCACATGTCTGCAGCGTTTCCAAGGCAGATATTGCCCCACACCCCATCCTGCAAGTCCAGGTGACCAGCGATTCAGAACACCTATTTACAGGACTTCCAAGACTGTCTCTCCACCAAGAAAGGAGAGAAGCATTTGCAGTGCCTAAACTAGGCACCTTCAGTTCCCTCCCACCACTTGCAGGAAAGCAGCCCTTGATAACAAGAATCATGGCTCTCTTGATTTTCCCCAGAAACAACAAAATTCAAATATAACAAGCAACTTCCATTTTCTACTGGAAAAAAAAAAAAAAAAAAAAAAAAAAAAACAAACATGATATGCTCATGTTCAAGGTAGAACTGAAATTCTCATGGATTCTCCTAGATTTCCCCTTTGATAGAAAAGTTATGTCATTTGCTCTCACCACTGGAATCTGCCCAGCTTCTGTGATTACTTAAGAAGTCAAAGCAGAGCAAACAGTGCCTTTTAAAAACTTAGATATCCAAAGATATCTCATGGGTGCCAAGACTCTTTATCGTGCCAGAGTGCATCTATTTGGACTCATAATTTATTTAGCCTTGATCCACAAGGTTTTCATCGGCAAGCACTTACCAGAACACTTCCGCGCCCCAGCCAGCGATGGCTGTGAAGAGACGAGGCCCAAAGTCCCTGGCAGGGTTGACAGCATAGCCAGAGTTGAAGCCCATGGAGGTTCCAATAACGAGGACAACAAAGCCAACTGTGAAAGCCTCCAGCCCTGTGGGGACGGGGTTGTTGTAGGGATCAACAATAGCCAAGACACAGACAATGAGGGAGGCGGTGCCAATGAACTGGAGAGGGATGGGGAAGAAAAAAGAAGAATTTAATTCAGGTTAGCCTTTTACCCAAGTTATTTAACTCTTCTAGGACTTAATTCTCTTAACTGGAAGAGCTGCACTAAGTCATCCCATGACATTATCAGACCAAGTAGACTGAGCACCCATGGGAACAGGAGAGTAGAACATGCTCCTCCTGACAGCCCATAATGTCAGCCAAGCTCACACCTTTTTCCCTACCCACAGAACTATGAATAACTGTTTAGGAAGCCAGGAAAGATGAAAACATCTTCTTAAACTTGCTTCCAACATGCCATGGCTAGGTGGCAGCTGTCCCTTTTGTGGTAACTTCAGGGAGACAGTCACATTCAACAACCACCAGCACCCCACACCCAGCTGATGTCTGAATTGTTCAACAGCCACAGTAGAAGAGTGAGAATGAAAAAGAGCCAGCATTTCTCATATTGTGGCTCTTCAGGGACTGAGAGCAAATTATATTCTTTTCTCTGATGTCTTGGACAGTGTTGTATCACTGGTTAACCCCCCCAAGACCTTCTTGCTGTGAGGTCCTTTCCGGCCTTGCTCTTCCTACGGACTAGTGAGATGCGTGTGTCAGCTCCAAAAACCTTTCTGGTTATCTTAAAATTGCAATTCATTTTCTAACTAAAGGTGAAGCCCAGAACCACCCCAAAAGATTCCTCTTCAAATGCACTTTGATACTCCCAGCACCCTCTAACCTGGTCAAAGAATCCATTCACAACATTCAGATGCTCAGATGGGTAGGTGGCGAAGATACCAGCAGTGCCATTCTGTCCTGTTACGTACAGCTGGTTACTGCCAAAAGCCCAGATGGCATCTAGAAACAGGGGTAAGAAAAGAGAAAGGTAGAGAGGTAAGTCATTTTACAACATGCATTTCAGAGAGGACCTTGCTTGGAAAATTACTAAAACAATGGCTCCACAAAGCCATGAAAATTGAGATTCAACTCCCTGAGCGCCCCACTGCTGTATGTTGCAAACCCATTTGCTGTAGGCCGAACATTCATTTTGAAATTACTTTTATGGAAGATCTGTTTCAAGTCCAGACAGGAGATACAGGAGGGGCCATTCAGTGGTCCACCAATCATTACTCAGGGGCAAAGAGTCGCACATTAACAACACTATTTGGCCTTCAGATTGATTTGAGGAGGCTTGAACCCACCATTATGAGAATGGGAAAGCCATCCTAAAAACACAGCAAGGAGGTCTGATGGAACTCTGCTCTGCAAGAAAGTTCTTCTCTCTGATCTGGGGACCTCCCTCCCTGCAGCAAGTCACAAAGAGCAGTAGTCTCACCCCAAAAAGCACACAAGGTTTCCACACTCACCGTAGTACAGCCCAAAGACTATGCCAGCTCCAAGGAAAGCCCCTAGGGTTTGTGCAAGGGCATAAATTGGCAGCTTGATCCAGGGCTCCCGGGCCAAGAAGCACATGGCAAAAGTGACAGCTGGGTTCAGGTGTCCACCTGCAGAGAGGTTGGTGGTTAGTGTACTTTTAGGGGTAGAATTTGCATCCCAGAGCTGTGCCAAGGGACACTAGTTTCCATGACAGTGCAGCACAGGAAAAGTACAGCCACCTAGGCCTACACAGTTGATACAGGTGAAATCCAGCCTGCACGGAGCCCCACGTACCTGATACCTGTCCTGCAATCAGAATGCCAAGTGTCACAGCAAAGCCGAAGGCCAGGTTGACAGTCAGGAAACTTCCATGAGTCCCTCTGCTGAGCACGATCTGCGCAACGGAGCCACAGCCGAAGAGCTACGAGGAGAAGAGATTGAAGTTACTGCCTCTGTTTCACATCAGAGCCACTTGCTGACCCACGTCTGCAATCGCTCCACTTAACACCTGCTTAACCATCACAGCCTACTCAACGGTGCAACTATTCTGATAAGGGATACAGGTACCTTTTTGTTAAAGTTTGATAATTCCTTAACACAGTAGCACATAGATTGGTAGGAAACAACTTTTTAATGTCTGGAAACACAGCCATGACTGAAGAAGGCCACATTCAGCCTGACATTCATGGAGCTCTCTTCCAGGCTCCATCAAGAAAAGTCTATACTCCAGAGAGCTTGCCATGAGCACAGCCAGAGTCCTGGACTCCTGTCCAAGATTAGGGGTGCACACCAAGCACTTTGGTGGACAAAAGTTGTTTATTTTGGGTGATAAAAGTATTTCCTAATAGCTAAGGGAAGCTGTGTTTTTGCTTAGAGATGTTTGCTCCAATCCTTCTCTTCCCACCTGCATGCAAAAGCCATCATTCCTATGCTCACCCTCAACAACTCAAACCAGTTTTCCCTGGGAATTCTGTTCAGCAGTCATCCAGCTGGAGGATTTCTGTCTTGTCAAGTCTTTCCACTATTCACCATATAATTTAAAGAGCCCTAATCGTGATCATCTGCATGTTTGTATCTTCCACTGACTCCACCTAAACTGACCTGTTGTGTATACCAGGGAATATCACATCGGTGGGTACTGAGAGCATCCTTAAACTAGAGCAGAGATTACACCTTGCTCATGAGATGCTCAAATCTAGGGATCAAGGCTTGACTTATTTCTTGTGACCACATTCCCATAACTACACCCTCACCAAGACTTTCTGCTTCCATGAACTCCATCATCCCAGAATTACTCACTCCACTGCCACAGGGGCATTATACACTCCTAGAGGATAAGCCACTAAAGAGGCACCCAGTTAGCAGGGTTAGCTGTCTTCCTCTCTCCAACCAATACTGGACATGCCCATTGAACAACACGCAATCCAAACCAGGGGCAAAACCAAAACACAGGTAACTCATCACCTCCCATCATCTTGACAACTGACAAATTCCTAACAAAGCAAACACTGCACTCAGCCTGCTGTGAAAGAAGCAGCCAGGCAGGCTGCAGGTTGACTCATGAGCTGGACAATCTGTACACAGGTGCCTCTTGACAAGGAGCCAGGTGCCCAACACAAGGACTTGTGCAGAAAGAACAAAGGAACCTGTTGAACTTGTTGATTAAGGAGGGATGGCCAGCACTGCTCTCTACTGGGTGCAGTCAGAACAGCCCCTCACCAAGCTGGGAAACCATGGCAGAGGAAACTCCAAGACAAAGGCAGAAAAGATGACTCTTGTGTATTGGCAGCAAACACAACCAGCTATGCCCAAACCACCAGAGCAAGCATAGCTCCCATGGAGCAAATAAATACCAGCTGATGACCAGTATTCTCTTCCTTTCCTTACCCCTGACAGTAAGAGAGAGTACTTGGCCACAGTGCTTCCCTCTCTGAGGCCGCACAGCACATCAGTCTGACCACGGAGGGGACAAGCCCACAAAAAGCTGTGTTTGGTAGGATTGACCCCAGGTGATTCCTAGTGATGAAGGTATTTGTGTTATTCACTCTGTAAGAACTGGCAGTTCTGCAAGTGCATGGTGGTTGACCTGTTATACACATACCTTTTCGTTGCAAAAAACCACAGAGTAAAGTTTTCCCACCTCCACCTCCCTGTACACTCGCAAAAGTCTTCCCTTAACCTGGGGGAAAGCCAGGTCTGCCATTTCTCAAGAGGTTATCTCAAGAGGTTATTCCCCATCCTCCTCTCCTCCATACTACACCTGGCAATAGCTCTCCAGCTTTTCCTCAGAAGAGAGTCTATGGGCCGTGCAAAAACACCCTGGAGCCACTCCACAAGAGCACTAGAATTGTTTATCAGATGAGCCCTGAGCATTATTTGGCTTAATTCAGCACAGAAAACTCAACCCTCAGCAGATAAAAACAGTACAGTGATATTTAGGGAGAGGGTAGAACTTTGATATGCATGTGTTCAATTCCATCCTGCACCAGTGGAGTACACTAAACACGAAAGTATATATTGTCATGTATGACATCCCTCCATGGCATTCAACTTTTACAACCAAGTTCTAGTCATGCTCACACATGTTTTTGTGGCAAGTAGCTTAACACTACACGGTTTTGTTGTGGTAGTAGCTACTACAGTTTTTAATCACACCAATTCCACTTCTGCTATCTGCTAGCTTTCCTTCGAATTGCTCTTCCCAGGTAATATGAGACAGGATCCATTTTTTTAAGTCCTCCTTGTCCACTGCTCACAAAGAACTGTTTAGAAACAGCTAGTTTGAGCTGAAAGGTAAGGAAGGTCCAATAAAAGCAACTCAACATTTTTCCCTGAGTCTTAAGTCCGCGCAGTGGATGTAGGAGTTCTCAGGCAATGCTGTACCACTGTGGTCAGGGACAGGGGTGCACACCTAAGGGTGAGGTGATATCTAATTCTTTTGATTTTAATAACCTGACTCCAATAGCACTTGGTTGTTTGTGGGGTTTGTTGATTTTCTTTTTACTTTTAAAAAAACAAAAAAACCACTACTGTAAGAACATCCAGCCAACAGAAATCCAGCTTAGCACCTCACAGGGCAGTGGGTGCAGCAGTCAACTGTTATACCTCATGATTCACCAGCCAAGTTCAGAAGTGGGTTTAATGTGGTAATGAAATTATTGCAACAAAGCATCGCTCTCATCTGTTAAAGCTACTCTCCAAGGAATTGAGGTCAATGCACCCATTAACCAGGTTAATGGAAGCCTGCTCCCTAATTTCATCTTACTGACTCTAGCAAATCTAATGGCTTTCCCTGCCAACAGAGAGGCTTCTCACTCCTTGTGAGCTGATTCAACTCCTTGCCCTGCAAAAAATAACCAAATCCATGTTCTGCAGGAAATGGTCAGAAGGTGGAGGACCTGACAAACTCTATAGGGGACGAGAACACCCCCTGTACTCGTGACACAACAGTTAGAAGCAAAACCAGGAAAAGGTAGCACATTGCTGGGGGAACTTCAATGTCATGAAACTCTAATCTCCCTATGTCCAGGGCGTGTTTTGAGACTGAGCAGTTGGTTTTGACACTCAAGATAAAAACTGCCTGTGTCAATGTCTGAACACACCGAACCCCTGCAGCCAGTAAGGGCTGGTAGGAAAGGACCATGGACGACAAAAAGAAAAGTTGCAACAGCTAATAAAGAAGCAAGGCCACTTAAGTTTTTAGGCAGACCATGTGAAAAATGGCTTCATGCATGAGCTCAGGAGGAAAGCAGTGCTCAGCACTCCCCTGCACAAGAGACAGGTTTCTTCCCTTTCTCGTCTCCTTTATTTGCCAGTGCTCTTTTACACCTTCAGGGGCAATACAAAAGGCCTGGGTGTATTTGCTCTTGGACCTCAGACAGACTGATGTCTAAGTGAAGATGGGAAAATTTTGCTGGCATAGACCAGGAGGAGTGCAATTACCTGAATTACAACTTTTCTCCTAAGCTAGCAAATAAACCAGGGATTAGGCAAGGAGCCTACTGTAAATCTACCCTAATCACCTGGGTGGATGGGAAAGACTGGTCAGCCCTTGCTAGCAGTAGGGAAGATGCCAGAAGGGCAGTCAAATCATGAGTCTGCTCTGAAGGAAGAAACCCTGAGATACTGATGGGTGATTTTTAAGCTTTGGACACACAGAGGGTACCACTCTTCATATCAGAATGAAATTTAGGACTAGCCTACAGTTCCTTCAAGGGAGAAGGCAGAGAGGGAGGGAGTGCATCATGCAGAGATCTTTCTCAACTCCTTGGCCCATGTGGTCAGGAACACTGTCCTTTTTGCTTTTCCTCAAAGCATCTCTCAAACAACCAGACTGGTCACCATTTTCAATTTCAAAGCAAGGAAAAAACTTGGACCCCAGAGTCCAGCTTTTTGTCCAGCACAGCTGGAGGCAGCCTGGGCAGTAGCCAGTTCTGCAGGGAAAGGCAGCAGCAGCAGATGGTCTGTTATGTTACAGCTCTTTACACACCACACGCTGTCCCAGAGCCAAGGCAGGGCTGCAGGACCCAAGAGATAAGAGAGTCTAAGGAAAACTCTGCCCCACACACATCACATGCTAAACAACACTTCACAAAGCTGGAGAAATGAGCAGCTTTCGGCTCAAGAAACCTGAGCAACTTACCGCACAGGATTTGGGCATTAGAGAGGAAATTCACTGTTTTAGCTTGTTCACACATACACAGGGAAGCAAAACCACCTATTCTGATAACCCTAGTATTGCTCAGACTAAGAGGCTTTAACTGTTAGAGAGACTCCACTCTGGTGGAGTTTTCATCACAAGGTTGGGCACTCCTGGGGGAAAGCTGCCTTCCCACCAAGGGCGAGTCTCAATGCATGAACTATCCTGTTTGTAGGAAGAAAAAACCTCCTGCTCCTGCACAGAGACAGCAAAATGGGACAGTTTTGGACAGCTAATGAAGAGCTTCAACCTCTTCTGTTGGAAGAAATGAGGGAGAGAAGCAGCAGTGCTGCCATATCCCACTCAGCATCCAGCTTGCATGGAAGAATCAGCAGCACTCAACATGCTTACAGCAAATATTTCCACCCGCTTTAACAGCCTAGCAAAGCGTTAACAAAGCAAAGAAATCTTAAAAATTAAATATATATAAATAAGATCACACTTCCAACAGTTAAGTGAGGTTCCCCTTCCCTTGGTCATCCCATTAAGTGAGGCTCTCTGTGCCTCGGCTATCCAAACCACTTCGCTGTTTTGGTTTCTGCGGTCTGCAGCACACTCACACTCCAGAAAGCTCCCACTTAGCCACAAAGTCAAGGCATCACTGACTGAAAAGCAATCAGGAATTGTTTTGTTCTTTCTTTGTGCCTCTACAACAGGGAATCACAGCGAGTCCCACTTGGAAATCAGTCATAATCCGCACATTACTTCCCCTGCAAATGTAAAACCCAAAGAGAGACAAAAGTAGTATTTACAGCCAGCAGAGCAAGGCAAACAGATTGAGTCTTTAAGAGAGGCACAGACACCAGCCACTGGAAATCTTAAGAGAGTTAGAGAGTTGCTACAGTAATAACACAAACAGCAAGCGGCTGGGAAAATGCCCTCAGCACTGGTGTTGCTTAACTATTGCCAGCAAGCGGTGCTTCCAACACAGGTATAAAGTTCAAGCCTAAAGTGCCACTCAGAAAGTGCATTTTGAGGAGGGAAAGTGCCAATTAAGGTATCAAAGGAAACTTATGTAGAATCCACATTACTGTTTTTGCAACATCAGGGACACTACCCACGGACTAAATGAACATCGTACAAGGTGCTTGTCCACAGCAAAAGTGGCCGGCAAATAGACAGCAACTCACTTTCACGCTTTTCAGGGCTGCCTTGGTTGGATTATTTTCCTTATCTTATTTTTAAAAAAAAAACTGCTTTAGTGTTAACTATGTTAAGACCCCTAAAACAACCACCGTCATGGCAGTAGGGTTGGAACCAGATGATTAAGGTCCACTCCAACCTAAAACCATTCTACGATTCTACCTTCACAATCTCTAAAAAAAAAAAGTAAGAAAAATAAAATCAAGCATTAAGTTAATTCTTTCAGGTAATAAGACTAGTCAGGGGTCTGCAACAGTTTTTGTCTTTAAGAGTTTGTGAGAGCTGCAGTCATTATGCAGGTGAAAGGGAGGAGAGAAGAAGCTGAAGCAGTGCCAATATCCACAGTGAGACACATTTTATATTACACAGAGAAATTTGAAATAAGCTACAAACTTTAAACAGCCTCCCTCCCTTGGGGCTCAGGAAGTTGATTTTAACGTGAACAATATCAAACCTTAAACCCATCCCTGATATTGTTCTGTTCTAGACATATTTGTCTTCAGTCAACTCCACTTCTCCTGAAGAAAATTTCCTGGATTCCTGGTTGGATATTTTACTGGCTGAAGCTCATGATATTTACTGGCGTTCAATGCATCTAAATGCACACACACACACAGGCTGGCATGGCGGGCAACAGGGGCTTCTGCAAGCTATAGAATGACAATTTCTCTCCTGAGATTATCCAATTTGAACGATTGTGCAGGCCAACTGAGAGGGGAAGAAAGTTGCCTTCAAGTTCTCTTTCTGTTTCATGTGATATAATAAAAGGATGCAAAGGAATCTAGGTGGTAGGGAGCAAAATAAATTATTTTTCTTTAGTAGAAGTAAAAACTCTGAGTGTCCCTTTATTAAGAATAGACTGGGACAACACCAAGTCGGAAAGGGGTTGACTGTCTTGGACAGCAGCTCAGGGACTCCTGCACACAGTGCGGGCTCTGCTTGTCCCCTTAGTCGCACACACACACACATTTAAACACCGCGGGTTTGGTGTCCAGAGGACAAGGCATGTGTTGCCCACTTCTGCCAGTGCAGCCTCCAGCGTGGCCAATGGATGCCAATCACCACCCTCATTTTGGAGGCTGCTGATGAGTTTGAACCAAACCCTTCCTCAGGCTCTGAGCAGATCCCAACTCCTCTCCATCTGGAGAGGCAAGGCTTTAGGGAAAGTAGTCTCTGTTGTGCCAACTGATACAGTCAGCTAGAAGAAGAAATAATGTTTTTTGGATCATGACCCCTTCTGAAATACACATGGCTAAAGCCTTGCCTTGTTTCTCAACAATACTAACTTGGCTATCAGGAGACATTATTCCACCTTACAAGAATTTCCTTGTTTCAATCCTGAGACCAACCGCAGCAACATTAGTGATTCATAGACAGCAACTTTCTAGTTGTTAATCACTTTCCTATCAGCTTCTACCCGCCTTAATTCCAAATAACCCTTCCTTAAAAAATCAACAGGACTTGTTTGCAAACCACCAAAGCTGGGTCGCTCTGATAATACAGACACTGCACTGTGCAAAGCTGCTTTCTTTAAAGAGTGATAACACTTTACAGGGTCTTAGCAGAGTCCCCTAAGCTTGCATACAAAACACTCAGTAGCCCTCCTTTCATCATCAAAAACTAATCTTATTTATGAAAGCATAAAATTGCATTGGTCTTTTTGTGCTGTTCCCCAAGTGCACATGCAGGTTCATCAAACCTTCCTCCACTTTCAACTCCGCCAACAATTAGATTTCTCCCCAAACAGTCCAGCCATCAGTTACAAGGAGGTGTAAACCCACAGTCACTCCACTGAGACCTCTAGGATTGCTCTGGATTTACACCACCTCAGAGGAGCCTGTACCTGCAGATATTCACCAGGTGAACACAACTCATTTCTGCTGGGATATCCACGCACCAGAGACCTGGGGCCCGCTGGGCAGTCCTGCTTTTTTGGAACGCAGATGCCCAAAGCCAGATAAGCCTGTCACTGTTTTTCTGCATCAGTGGTTAGTCCCCACAGCTCATGCACGACTGCCCTAGCTCTTCTCCACTGTCTTTAACTTGAGAGCAAGTTGGGGCTGCTTAAAACATCTGCAACCTAAGGCACTTATACACACATCTATCCTGCTTTTTCCCTCATATCCCATGCTTTTGGAAACTGAGCACTAAAACAGGCAGAAGAGTTTTTTCACCATTTACCACTTAAAAACAGGTGGACTGGCAGCTCGGTGCTGTCACGCACACACCAAGCACGAAATTCCCATTGGCACAAGCTGCCATGGTGATGGGCAGCCCTGCTGAAGAGACCCCGGGGAACCAGCAGCTGACAGCAAAGGGATACTGCAACGGTTTAAATTCTGGCTACTTCTTCCTTATAGGATGCATCAGGAAAAAGAAGTGAGGCGAGGGGGAAAAAAAAAGCTTTAACTTCCTCGGGTGACAGCCCTTGCAGTATTTCAGTGCCAAGATAATACTCCGGGGCTGACAGAAAGGAAGTTTTGCATGATCTCTAGAAAAATACTTGCTGCTTACACAGAGACATTTTGCTCCCTGCACTTCGCAGATACTCATAAGCTCCCAAACACCCAACGAGCTCAGTGGACCCCACCCTTTGCCACACACTCCAGGGTTCACCCTAGAGCAACTTGCATGAAATTTTTCCTGCGCTCCGGGACTCTCCTCTACTCCCTTTGCACCAGGTTGCACCAGAGCTGGGCTCATCCCTGATGCAAACTCTGGCAGCAACGCAGCCCCTTCACTAGGACCATTTCCCCCACACAAAGGGGTTAGAGAGCATCCCCACACCACAGCCCCCACTCACCACCAGGATCAGCGTCCCCAGGCACTCAGCCAGTGCTTGCCGCACTAATTTGTTTCTGATTCTCAGGTGCTCCTCAATGGTAGCAAGAACGTCCTTTTGCCGCCCCATTGCAGTGGAGGTGCTGGTCAAGTGGTGTCAGGGAGAAACCAGCTGCTGACAAAGCCTCAACAAAGTTTCTTCCCCGGCAGAGCTGCCTTTGCTTATAAATAAGTTCATCAATGCCTGACACACCTCCTGGGTAACCACACCCCTTCCACCCGCTCTTCAAACTCAACTTCTTTTTTTTTTTTTTTCCCCCCTCCTTTTCAACGTGAGACAGCGTGGGTGTTTTTTTTTTTTTTTTTTTCATTTGCTTTATTGCTTTCACAGGTAAGCAAAAGCTTCAGGAGCTTCAGAAGGAAGAATTAAACGTGGCAAAGGTGTCCCACTCAAGCCACTCCTGTTCTCATCAGCACCTAAAACATGTGGCCCTATCTGCACTTCTCAAGCTTCAGCTAGATGCATAAACTGAGCAGTGCTTTACCCATTTGTGTGAGCATGGCACCCTGAGTTTAGCTTGCTTTCCTTCCCAAACTCCTGTGGGATGGCGAAGTGGTGTGTGCTGATGGCCTGCAGAGGCTGCAGGTGCTTTGGCAGCAAAATCAGGGTGCAGGAGGGTTTGAACCCCCACAGCTGAGGCCAAGGCACCTCCCGACTCCAGCAATTACCCAGCTGAAGGTGGTATCAAGAAGCAAGACCAGACCTCTCTCCATTAAAATCTGCATCCATCTCCAAATACCTCTGTGCCTTTAAAGTCTGTCCCACTCTCCCAGAATTTTGGGAAAGCACTTGCAGCCCAGTCCCCATGAAAGCTGAAAAAAAGACATGAGATCCCCAGCGCAGAGTTAATCCCCATCCTAGGATCTTGATGAAATGCCCACAGAACCACTGAGCAACATAGGAACCAACCCTTGCTGCGTTTTACCCTCAGTAATAACATATACCACCCTGGGACAATTCTATGGCATAGCCTGGATGAAACCAGTACCAGACCATACCATCTGAGGTGAGGACTGCTAAGAGAATATGTGCATTTCATGGCATCTGGTTTTTGTTAAGTGAGTAGTAAAAATTCCCTGGGCTCCTTGACTCACCAGGGCTTGACGCAGAGCAACACGGCTGAATTTGCAGGACTGAAAGGGACCCTTTTCCTGGATTTGTTTCCCCGCCTCCTCTGCAAAGCCACAGATGCCCAGCTTTTCCTCTTCCCCTTATTTAACCATCAATTTTCCTGTGGAAAAACCAGAGCTTTTTAGTGCAGTGCTGAATGGGCCTTTATTTTGTACAGAAACTGCAGCCAACCCAAGGAGCAGTCAGGAATGTGGTTAAGAAAGCAATAATGTGTGAGGAATCAAATACAGGGAAACACTCAAGTCCAAACATAATTACAGGGACAGGAAACTGTCCTTGTTATTTTGTGCTCAAGCCCAGTCTGGGATCGCCAGCATCAATGGGGTCCTCTGAACTACAGCAAGTGCTCCATCAGGTCTAGGCAATGAATGCTGAGGATGCCCATTTTTTTAACCTTATCTCTATATCCCTCCCCTCACCATCTTGCAGTGCATCGCCAGAGCCATGAAGGCTCCTCACTTGCTCCTTCATTCCACTCTCGTTTATATATTCTGCTCTGTCCTTTCACCCTGACGTTGTATGAAAGCCATCACAGCCAGAAGTAAAGCTGTGTGTTAGGTTTTTTTCCCTTTTGACACTTCCCAAACCCGTGGCCTGGTTTGCCATTTGTTGACCCACCAGTGTGCAGATGCTGGGTTCCGTGGTGCAGTTTTATTGAGATTTATGTAGACTGGCTCCCATTCCTTCCCTGGTGGTGAGGACAGGGCCATCAGAGCAGAAGAGAGCAAAAAGCAAAGGGAGGTGTGATGTTCTCCAGGCAGGTAGCTACATTTCTCCTGTCTGCAGTGTCTGAGCCCCTTTGGCTCCAAGTTGAGGATACCAGCATTTCCTCACAACTGGTGAAGGGAGGGACGATGTCCAGGCTCCAAGGTTGATGACATGTCTTGGTTTCAGACAGAATTCTTCTTAGTAGTGGTTTGGATTTAGAATGAGAATAATGTTGATAACACACTGATGTTCAGTTGTTCCCCAGTAGTGCTTACCCTAAATCAAGGACTTTCCTGTGTCTGGCTCTGCCAGTGAGCAGGAGCACAAGAACCCCGGAGGGATCATGGCCAGGAGAGATGACCCAGACTATCCAAAGGGATATTCCATACCACAGAACATCATGCACAGGTACATAAACTGGGAGGAGTTGGCCAGGAGTTGGCCAGGCTGGGAATTATTCAGTGTCAATTGTGTTGTTTTTCACATGTCTTTCTTGGGGTTTATTCCTCTATCTTTGTCTTTTTCTTTGTCATTATTATTAGTAGTAGTAGTAGTATATTTTATTGAATTATTAAAATAGTCTTATCTGAACACACAAGTTTTATTTTTTTTACCATTCTCTTCCCAGCTGGGGTGAGCAGGGGGCAGTGAGTGGTACTTAGTTGCTGGCTGGGGTTAATCCACAACATGGTAAAAGGTGGAGATAAGACCAGCATCAAAGCTGATGCTTGGAAAAGTCTAGACAGAGGCAAGCCGAGGAGCTGGGGTGGGGTGGGTGCTCCAACACCAGCTCTGTGACTGACTCATTGCCTGACCCCAAGCAAATCCTTCACCTTTCCACACCCCAGCTTCTCCATCAGAAAACTGGAGAGTGACATCAGATTGCCTTCTTGGGGCGTTGTGAGGGTGAATCACTGCAGCCCAAGATCCAACGACTTAAAATGAGCAATAGGGCTTATGCAATTGCTTTCCCAACAGGCAGCCATGTTATTATCTAGGAAGGAGCTTGGGGAAGGGACGATGACGCAACGCTCGAAAAAGCGGAGCATCTTTTCAGAAGCCAGAGCTAATCAACATGTGGGTAAGGGCTGAAAGGCCCCAGTGCTGGAATTTTTCTGTGCCAAGACAGAAATTTCCTTGCTGCACCAATCAGCTGGGCTCCAGGGACACATGATCTAAGCACAAAACAATTAGATGTGCAGCAGCAGCAATAGGTTTCCAAGCAAGCCCATCTCCTGCAGTAACTGGTGCACAGGGTACTCATACCCCTTCTGGTGGTTAGAAGAAACCCACAGATCAGTACAAGTAAACAAGGAAGGATGTAGCAGTAAGAATAACAAGATAATTCCTCAGAGCTGCTGGGCTTTCCTTGTGTTGGGTGGACGTAGAAAGATGTCTGTGCCTTTAGTGTTGCCTCGCATGGACATCCAAAGAAGCTCTTTCACAGCACGGAGGTTTGAAGAAAGGAAGTTCTCAAAACTTTGTCACAAAAATTCATGCTTGACCTCCTGGTGATTGTCCCAGAGATACTGAAGTGCAAGCAAGGAATTTCTCTGATCAGTCATGGTGTGGTTCAAACACCGGGTGTTAAAGTACCTAGAATGAACTACTCCTATCAACCTGTACAATGTCAAAAATCAAAGCAATGTAATACTTCAGTTTATGGAACTTGCTGATTGCAGAAGAAACTCAAAGAGAAAAGGAAGCTCAGCTTAGAAGGGAAATCAGAGACAACCTTGTTACGTTGTGCTCTTTCCATGAATCTCTGTCTTTTCTTCCAGCATCTTCTGGGACCAACAAATACAGCAGTATCTAGGGATAAACCAGGATTTGAACCCATACCCTCTGACCCTGGTCCAACAGAGCACTTCTCTGTAATGTTTGTCACTTTCTTACTCCTCCTTTTCTCTCTTGCAGAACCGTACAATGTGCCACAAGAAACTCACTGTGTGCTCAGGCTGTTATTTCTAGACAAGATCCAAAACTAACATCTGGGTTCCAAGTTTACTGTTTGTGTTTCAGCCTTGCCACTTGGCTCCACCCCTCATCACTCCATGCCGGGGGAAAGATACAGGTGAAATTATAAAGGAAGATCCAAGGCTTGGCTGCTCCCATTCAGCTGTTTTGCTACTGGCTATAGTGACACAAAATAAATTCAGGCTCTTACACTTCCTTGGCTTCTGCAGAGTCCTGAACCAGCCCCCAGCAATGTAATTTTTCCTATTAAAATCCAAGTTTAGCAAGTTAGCAAGACTTTTTCTTAAGTGGTTGAATGGATAAACCTGGACTGTTGGGTTCCCCTGCTTGTCCAAGCCAAATTTATTCACTCATTCCAGGATAGATGGTGCAACCCATTGGGGAGAAAAGTGTGAATCACTCAAATCTGTAATGAGTCACCCATTGCGCGGATGGTGGGGTCACCTGGTGCAGAAGCCGCTACGCCAAGAGAGGTCACTGTGTCAAAGCATGACAGGATTCCTCCTTGTGAAATCTCCCTTCAGAAGATACCTCTGACCACCCCCTTCCCATGCTCTACTTGACAGAGCAATATGGTGACATGTTCATTAGATTTCATTAAAAATAAAAATTATAGCTTGCCTAGCCAGGCAGGGTAGGAAGTGAGTGGGTAGGAAGTTTATAAGCTTTCTAAACCATTCTAGCTGGAGGCTTAAGTGCAGTGATTTCAACATCCTGCCTTGAATCTCCAGATTTGCAGAGCCAGGTGTTCGTTTCATGTCTGGGTCTGCTTAGCCCTCCAACCTGAGTTAGAAAAATGGAGACATTCCTCCAGGGAACAGTGGTCATCTACACAGCTGAGGGTTGTTGATGGCATCTGTTTTTGGAGGAGCTTAAGGTGAAACTGCAATCCTAATTTAGGTTCCTTGGACACCTAAGAATGGCCTGGAAGCTGCAAACCGGGTTTAGACTTGAATTACAATATAGTAATGGGAATAATATTTAAAAGCCCTGAAAATAGCCCTTCATGAAGTCCACTGCTTGGGACCGAGTGAAGGAAAGGGTACCCTGAGCTCAATCTATATCTGATATCATTCAAAAGTGTCTCACAGGGATGAATTCCCCAGAGCTCTATTGGAGCATGGACCCAAAACCTGTCCCACTGGAGGCTCCTTGTCAGGTCATTTCCTCCTCATCCCAAAGCTGGTCCCAGTTCACAGGAATAACCACTGTACATCACATGCCATTCCTGTAGAGAAGTCATTTTCAGAATAAGCAACCGCATACCAGAGTAACTACTGGGCATTGGGAAAGCATCAGTTCCTCCAGAAGAAAGGTTTTTAATAACACACCTAAAGGGAA